GTGCAGGTGTGCACGCCAATACCCACCTGGCGTGCGGTTTGGCGTGCACCAGGGGGGGTGGTGTGCGTTTATCAAGCCCCCCTTGGCTGTTGTTTCATTGCTTGTTCTTTACAAGAATATTCAAATTACCATTCAAGGTCCAGTCAAGCCCTGGTTTTCAGAAGCCAAAAGGCAATAACGGCCATGCCAACCTTGAGTCCAACCAATAACACAAATTTTGTGATCTCACCATCAAACTCAGGCTTTATGATTGCTGATCTATCTTTTTTTCAAGGTGAGCCACAGTGTTTTCCTGGATGATAGCTTAGAATGGCGGCCTGGAATGGGTAATTCAGACTGGAACTGATGAAAAGCTTCAAAACTCACCTGATTGGATCTTGTGAGCTAACCATGCAACTCTCACTAGTTCCGATTCACATCCCAGGATAATCCAGGATATGTTGGACTCACTTATCACCAAAGAATGAATCCAGGCTTGGTCATGAAGCTCATAAATTGTGTGTGTCTTTCAATTGGCTACTTCTTGTACAAACTAGAGATGTCACTTGGCACCTGCCGGCAGGTACCTGGCACACATTCAGAAGATGCCCTGGACAGTTCTATCCACCAGCTTGCCAGGTGGAGCATGCAGAACTGTTTCTTTGACAGTAATACATCCTTCAAATGCACAGCTGGTGGCTGGAGGTGTTCAGGTAATTGTTTGAAGTTGTGGCAGGTACCTGCTGGCAGGTGCCAAGTGAAATCTCTAGTACAAACACAGGTTAAACAAACTGGTGTTCATATTTGATTCAACTCTTACATCTGCATTCTACTCATTGCTTGGTTGTTGTGGGTGAGTGTTGTGCGTAAGACTCAGGGAAAGTCAGGCCCACACCCATGTTGGACACCAGCAACAAAATGGTTGACAGACATCAGGTCTCCAATACTTTTACTGACCCAGTTCGATACTTTTATGACCCAGTTGTCTTCCAATACCCACAAAAGCAAAGGGTGGTTTTCACATTTGACACCTCAAAGAAAGCCGCATTCGGGTTCTTTGATGCTGATGGCTTTATCGCGGTGAAGATGTAAGAGGCGGTCAAGGGTAATTTCATGGAATCTTACTTGGATTCTCCCTCATTTGAACGCCGGGCAACGACTCAAATGGTGGCTCAACTCACACAAAAGCGATTGGGGTGTGGGATTTGATTCGTTAGCAGAGCACAAATCATGCAAACTACATATTTTACTTGATGGTGCCGGCTTCTTGTGTACGAATTTTAACAACCTAATTCAAATAAGTGTAAAACTATAGTGCCGGCTTTTTGTGTTTGGATTTAAAAACGCTAATTCAATTAAGTGTCGAACTATAAGATGGGGGACATCTCAATCCCCTCTCGCTCCATTTCTTCCCTAAAAGCCTCCAAGCGAGCAACCCCTTCACATAATAAGCGGGCAATCCCCAAGGGGAATCCCAATCGAGTCAATTCCGCTTCATTGGTGGCACGAAAAAAAGTCCAATGGCCAATGCCGTGGACCAGAAGTCGGGAACGGGTACGGAGGTCGTCGCGAGGTATGTGAGCGATGTTAAGATAGGTCTCCATAGCGACTGCCTCCATGGCTGCTCGTGCCGGTGGGAAAGGCACACGGGCAACGAAGGGGTTGGCATTTGGTTGAGCCAAAGTTGGCGCCGGCGGCATGCGTCTGGGATTGTTTCCTTCAAAAACGTGCAGGTGGTTTGAGTTCGAGTCCGCATTTGGTGGGGCCAAAGAACCGGGGAGGTTGACGGCAAGATTGGAATTGGCCCGAGTGGTGTTAGTGGGGCTTTCGGGCGGTTGGATGTTGGGGTTGGCCACAGGGAGTTGTCCAGCCGCCATGAGTTCCTCGTGCGCGCGTTCCACAACGACAGGTTCACTTATGTGTCGGCCAGCATCATGAGGGGCGCCGGCTCTGGGCTCGGGGGTATCCTCGCGCTCAAGATCGATGTACACCGGACGGCGAAGCCTCCAAGAGCGTTGAGTTGGAAACGGGCGAAAACGACGAGTGTCGCGGCGAACCATCAGTCCTGCTGTGAGAAGAGCAAGGAAGTCAGGATAATGAACACAGGGCGCTCGTAGTTGTGCAAAACCAACATTTTTCTTTATCAGCCTGGCGTTTTCCTTTCCTTTGCGCTGTTTGAGGATTGGATGCAGATTTTTGGGACGGAGGGTTGGCTTCTTCAAGTGCACCAAAATGACTGCCTTTGCCTCCCGCGTGAGGCTCAACTCCATCATCCCCAGGCAGGCAGAAAAAATCAATCTGAGATGAGTTGTTTGAGTGCATTCCACCCAACACACAGTTTGATGATTCCTGAGCTAAATTTTGCCGCATGCTGACCAGGGACCGCACAAGAGGTGGGTGATCGAAAAACAACAATGGCAGCCTTGGGGCCCCGCCTTGTGAGCTTTTGGAACAGAATGGGTGCCTTTTGGAAGACTCCAGAGCAGAAGGTGATCACCATCCACTGAAATTAAAAGGTTTGAAACTCAAATCATCCATGTAAAAATTCCCCTTGTCCAAAATTCCAAATTGAATGAAGCCTCAGTGACAGTTTTCGGGGTCCATTTTACAAAGCACACAGGGTTGAAACATCCATTTGATCAAGTCCTTAGTGAGGGGGCTCTTCACAACACCCCCTTGGATTACAAGACCAGGGGAAGGCATCAAATAACATGAGCAAATGGCCAGTTTCATTTCAAGTATAAAAAAAACATCACGGATAAGGATTACTAGTATGATGCACAATTCACATAGTTGGATTTAGAGGCAATAAATTGATAGAAAAAGGTTGCCAATATATCTTCTAAAAATACATTGGGATGAGTGGCACGTGTTTTGAATTCTCAAATAACATGGTTAATTGGATATTTTGTATATTTGGCAGTGCTGGTATTTATTCAGCAGTGTCTTGAGCTTATATCCACTGCATGTTTATTTATTTTAGCCACCATGCTTGAGATGTGATTCAATGTATATTTATTTTAGCGTGTATTATTGAGATGTGATTCAATGTATATTTATTTTAGCGTGTATTCTTGAGATGTGATTCAATGTGTATTTATTTTAGCGTGTATTATTGAGATGTGATTCAATGTATATTTATTTTAGCGTGTATCCTTGAGATATGATTCAATGTCATTTTAGTGGTTATTCATCACCATGTTTTAGATGTGATTCAATGGCATGTTTTATTTTTGAAGATGGGATCATTCAGTTGGTTTGTCATCCATCATCCAACAATGACAACAATCAAATCAAACTTGGGGCAAGGCTGCTTGCACGTGTCTGTGAGGTCTGGTTGGTTGGATTTGGACGCCACCGGGCCCTACCAGTCTCAATGGCAGTGGCCCAGTTGAGATGGTAATAAGTGTTGAGTCCTGCCAATTCACGATGGGTTACAGGATCTCGCAATGAAGCAGAATTCAATATGAAGCTCTTTTTGTCATTATGACGGATCTTCAATGTTGTTTGAGTGCCTTCATAATTGGGGCCTTTGTTCCTGGATCCCTTGACCACTTGGCATCTTCCAGATTGACAATTGTGTTGGGTATTGAGGCAAGCAACAATATCCTGGCCATTTTAAGGTGTTTAATAGTAGGTTTCAATTAGCCAAATGATAACAATCCAGATTGAATTCAACATGTGAGACATTTGAGGGAAATTATACATACAGATGCTTCAAAATAATCAACGTGACTTGTGACATCTAGCTCTCTCATCTGATAAAATGGATTGATTGGCCCTTGCAAAAATCGCCTGGCCCTGACAAAATACCGGGTTTGATGCTCCAAACTGGCAGACCATATAGATTCAACACATTCAATATCTTTAGTGGATCCTGAACTTGTATTTTTTTTGACCTGAGGTTATAAAATGCAAGTCCCATGGTCAGCTGGTTCAATATGATGTTTTTTTCTGGTAGAAGATACTTACCAAAACAAAATAGTCTTTCTTCAATACATCATGTTGTAATAGTCTCAACTGGTGAATTTGTTTGATTTTATGGTGGGGAAATCTTCTTTGCAAAAAATCTGGAACACCTTCCATTTCTCCTTTGGGGAGGGGGGTAGTTATGACAGAGGGTGTTTGGTTGTGGGATGTAACAAGTAGATGGTTGTATCCAAGAGATTTTTGTATTTGTGGATGATCCCTGAATACATCAGTAACCTGCTGATCAGCAATAAATCTTCCATGAGTTCTGTGGTTCCAATGTGGCCCCCCTGAAAGAATTAGTCGTAAACATGCTTCATTGACAAATTTGATGGCTATGTCTCTTCCCGGACTGTGACGGTTGGAGTGTATGGATGCATTTCGCAAAACCCCATTGAAGCTCTCGAACTTTTCAGTGGCATAGAGGGTGGCTGGACCAAATCGTTGAATGCATTCAGGTAAGTGAAGAAGCATGTGAAGTTTGGGCTTGTTCACCCATTGACAATTCATCTTGATAATATGCCACATGAAATCATCAATCCTTATTTTGAGTTCTACTAAATAGGTATCCATGTCAGGAATCCGGGTTTGAAAAATATAAGTTGAAAGCCGGCACAAAGAGATCCAGAGTAGCCTTTTCTCTTCTGACATAAATTGATAGAACACAAAAGGGGCTGCTTGCAAAACAATCCGGAAATGTTTTCCAAGGAAACTACCATGGTGTTTGGCCATGTTCAATGGGTTAATGGTTTCAATGTTGAGTGAATTTTTGTTGAAAGATTCCCAGGATGCCATTAATCTTTCAACATGACATGCTTTGAGTCCTTTCATGAAATCTCCTGTCAGGTACTTCACAACCCCAAGAAGGAACACATGAAGGATCTCAACAGGTGTATCCTTGCACCCATCAAATCCTGAAATAAAGTAACAAACCAGTATTTTTACCTCAATAAAGTATGTAAACCATCAAATAATGTGATAGAAATACTCACCTTTGAGCCTCATGATGGGACTGAAAAGCTGGTCTTGATCATCTTCATTATCTAAGCTTCTAATTTTTTCTATCAATTGTTGATCATTCCCTTCTCTCATAATATCCATAGCCTGTTTGTTAATATTATCCTTAACCCCCAAATCGGTGATCATGCGGTCTACCACCGTTTTGGGTTCAGTTTTGGAAAGTCTCCACAAGTATTTGGCTGTTGTTTTGGTCTCCTTCCAAGTCCTTGGGGAGGGTCTGCACTGTGATCCAAAAGAAAAGTATATCAGCTTGTGAGTAACACACCATAAATGTACATGTTCTCATGAATTAATCAATCAATCTGCCAAAACAGGGAAATCCTTACCACATGTCCTTGAGTATCACGTCCTATGAAATGCTGGATGTATTGGAGGCTGCGTCTATCTTCAATACTGGCAGCTTTCAGCTTACACATGCGGCATGAGTTCAAGGATGCATTTGGCATGTGAGTGCAGGTCACCTCTGCATGCATCGGGGAATCCCCCTGGAAGCATAACACAACACTCATGATTAAAACATCCTGTCCCAACTCATAATCATAAGCAACATGTCCCCCTCTAGCCAAATCACTAAAATTCACACTGGTCAGTAATAAACAGGAGTAATGATTGCAGAGTAACTAACTAACTTCATGTCATCTGTTATTTTATCAGCCAACTCCAATACACTTGCCTGATTTGAGGTGGTCACAAAGTGACAGTTGAACTCTTGATTGGCCACATTTGGGGGAAGTCCGGAAAGCGTGAAATAAAAAGAGACATGCTTGTTAAATTGTTTGGAAATATTTCCAGATGTATCATCACAATACAAGTTTATGGGCATGTGGCGTATCACTCTTCCTCTTGACATAAATCTCCACTTATTGGGCAATGTGAGTGGTATTTCATTGCCTATTTCTGTCAAATGAAACCAGAAATAGGCATGTCAACAACCAAGAAAAATTCAACTCTGAACAAAGGTTTCACTTACCCCAAATGAGTGATTTGCATGCCTCTGCCAATTTACCAAAATTTCCCCAGATAATTTCAGAGTATATATTTTTAAATTCTGAAAATTTGATTGCTTGTAGGCGGTCAGAAGTGAACTCCAGTGCTCCTTCAAATTCAATTTTGAGCACCTTTGCGTCATGGCTTGTTGGCGAAATGAATGGCTTGGTACACTTGGCATATATTTCATTATTCATTTTGTAGAAGTAAACTGGGACTACCACTTTTCCTGATTTCAACTGAGTGGGTTCAAAGATGTAAAAATGCTTATCATTGCTGACAACCATTTGAACTCTCTCATTAGGTCCCAATTCCTCACACCATTTCTTACTTTGTGATAACTTGAATATATTCTGGCCATTTGGATCCTCTGGGTAGAAATCCAAATGTGGATGCACATATGGGTTTGAAATCTCCTAGGTAAAAACATTATAAATTTATTCAGTATCCATTAGAATAATTTACCTCAAATCAAAGATATCCAATATTGTTATTCAAACATCAAAACATGTTCATCTAAAAAATGGTGCATCTCTCTGCAATATTTTCATAAGGAAAGGGATAGATAAATATGACTTACTTGTTCTAGGATCTGTGGGATGCTCAAAGAAAAGCATTTGTGGTTCCAAATACTTTCATTTTCCAACACATGAAAATTTAAGAGCATCCTAATGCTTTCACTAGTGTTCCTTATAGTATTCCAATGAGGTAGCTCTAACCCAGTGATGGAGAGAATAAGGCGCATTTGAGAATACATGCTACGTGAAATTGAGCACCTCATATATCCCTGCATAAGTGTACCAATCAGAGCCTAAAATCCAGAAGTGTCATTAATTGTCCCTGAGGATAGCTCTGAGTGTAAACTCACCTCTCGGTTTTGGTATGGGTACCAATGTGTTAATGTGTTCCTGTTAACACCATCATTTAATAATGATACATCCCTCTCTAAAGCAGTGCCTTGTACAAGATTTACAGCTTCAAATATGGAATCATCCCAGTCACCCTCATCCTCAAATTCCACCTCTTGAAATTGATTTGGATTGAAGATTGATAATTCAGTGGTCCTTGTGGGTACTATTACTACATCATTATCAGAATTTTCTGGATTGCCTGATGATATATCAATGGTCTCAAATGCCAGGGCAGTATCTTCAGGTTCTGATCCTGTTCCTGGATACATTTGAGTATCTTGGTTGAAAGTTTCAGGAATTGGTTGGACCAAACTTGCATTGATGAGATGTGTTCTTGATTGTAAATGTTCCACAGGATTCAAAGTGGTTCTTCCTGGACAGGCCTCACAAGCATAAGTTGTCCTGCCATGCTGGCGCGCCACAATAATGAAGCCTAAATGTGAAGAGTCCATCACCATCAATTTCAAATGACAATACAATAAAAATAACACCACAATTTACCTGGGATATTCATGTTACCTCTGACTGTTGGACTAAAAGCCCAAAGGAGCTTTATTCCAACCCAACAGTTGAGTGAAGGAGTGAGTGAATTTTTGAACCACAGGGTTGAGTGAAGTTGTTTGTTTAAAAAACAAGAGCAGTCCAATTCCCCTTGAACAGGGACCAATCTTCTTGCACTGGAGTGGAGGTGAGTTCATGCAAGATGGAAATGAACCGGACAAGAAGCAATTTTTTTGATTCAGCCCCAACATACACCAAACCCAAAAACAAATCAGAGATGGTTTATCAAAATCAAACACAGAAAAGAGGAAGGGCTCACACGGTGAGCACTTGCCTTGACCAGGCAAAAAAGTGTTTGTCTGCCAATGCTTTTCTCTCAAACCCCCACCTCTTAAATATTATTTTTCCTGGATTTTTGCCACCTTCAACGGCTTGCATTGTTGAGATGTCTCAACCACAGAACTTCACCCCAACTCCATCCCCAGCCCCTTCAGCACCCCGCACTGCCGGCCGGCTGGCCATCGCCCAGGTTCCTGTTTCCAGTGAGGGGACCCCTTGTTTCGGATTGCTTCTCCAAGTCAGCTGAACAGTTGCTATCTGATAGACAGGTTTCATCCCCACCGAGGCTCCGATCGAGGCCGCCGTTTGACCCCAGCCCGCGGATCTACTGGACCACTAGCATCTCAAAGCCGAGCGTCTAATCAAGTGCCCCGCCGCCAGGCCAATTCAAATGGCAGTATCAGGGACCTCAATGCTGCAAACGAGGCCCCTAATGATGTGGGTTGGGGGGCAGGTGTACAAGTTGCCCCTGGTGTGCCCGTTATCGACCCAACACTCAACTGGCTTGAGGAAAGCAATCGATCCCCATCCCCAGAGCATTTTTTCGGGGCCATTGCGGATGAAGACAATGAAGATCCTGCCCATCAAACCCAATCTGATGAGGAGCCATTGCCGGATGCCCAGACATTTGATTGGGGGGCCAACCCACCCGCAGAAGCACAACACAATCTCCCAGCAGTTGGTGCCGGTTTGATTGGTGAACTCCAAGGACAGTTGCACTTCTCGGAGTCCAACTTGCAACTCGTCAATCAACTTTTTCAGGTGAGTTCAACTGCATCCCCCCTATCTCAAACTTACATGTCACTCATCAGAACCACTTTCAATCTTAAACAAAACAACTTCTAGGCCACTGACGAGGAGAAGTGGAGACTCACCGTCATGTTTTTTGTTCACTTGCTCGGAAAGACCACTTCTGAGCATATGGATACTCCGACATTGCCCGGCCGTGCAACCTCGGCAAAGAAATTCACCTTTTCAAACCATGTTAAGGTTATTTCAATTCATTTTTCTCCTTTGGTTGTGTATTTCATACTAACGTGTCCCCTAAATACAGTGTTGCATGCGAAACATGCTCCGTCAGATCTTGACTAAAGGAAATGTCGAATCCTACACTCGCACTATGACATTAGCAGACTCGACCCCAATCAGGCGAACCCCCTTACTCATGCTCAAGGCGAGTCCAATGTCTTATTTTGGGATTTCACATCAATAGTAAACTATGAACTAATGTTTGAACATTTGTTTCATGACTGTAGGCGCATATTCGATCACAACCCTCTGCGTTTCACCAAGATTACCTACCACCTGGATATCCCAACGACATTGATGCATGCGCTGCGGTGATTCAGTTAATGCGAGGACTTCTGAAGAATGAAAAGGGCCTCTTGCGCAATCTGGTAGGTATTGCGCTGCCCCGTTGTTGCCACATGGACCCTAACCACCTTGATGTTTGTAGCTTCTCACAAACATCAAGGAATTCAACCACCGGCCAATTGATGGTGCGGTTCCAAGCTTGGATGCGCTAGTGGTTATAGTGAGTCACCCTGTCTGGTAAGATTGATTGTGCCACACACGTTCTTACAAATGCCCAATTATGCTGCCAGATTGATCAAAACATGGCCGCCCGCAAGCAGTTGAAAGCGGAGGCAGAAATCCTTCGGAGTTACGACACTAGCATGACTACCCGCCTCGGTTTTTTGCGACTCTACACTGTTGTACACCATGTTCATCGAGACCCTACAGAGAATATATCGCAGTGGGAGTTGATTGACCAACAGCTGGAGCATGTAAGGAGTCAAAGCGAACTCTATCGTATTGCGTATGTGGTGCCGATTCTTTTTGTTAACTACCACTCAGATTATTGACTGGTGCACTATTGTTTCTTAGCTATGGTCGTGTGGTCCGCGCGATTGATAAAGAGCTTTTTGGCCAGAAAAAGAAATTCGATGTGATATTAGAACATGAGCATATCAGGCTTCCAACCGAGGAGGATGTTGAAAAAGAAATCCACCTGATGACTGTTGGTGGGCAAGGTCAAGGACCGACCGAGCCCTTTGTCTGATTTTCTGGAGCAGAGCTTGACAAATAGTGCATTGTGTTGCTTTTCCTTATCATGCTCACAAAAATTTCCTTCTCATGCTCACCAAAAAAATCCTCCGGCGCAACAGCCGAATGGGGTCCGAAATTCATTTCTTTCATTTTCCTAACTTAATCTAAAAATGATTTGTTGTAGCTCAAGCCTCCGATTCCAGAAATTAATCAATCAGATGTCATAATAAACACTAACTGGGATTCCAGCCATTGCTCGGAATCCCACAAACCGAGCGATGCCTGCAATGGCTGGAAACCGTGATCCGAAAGGATCACGGATAGCTTCACACAGACAGATAGCTTACAGATTACCAAACCGGAACTCGTGCCTGGCGGTCTGGCAGAAATTGTCCGAGTACATGTACATCTGGGAGATCTCTCGGATTGGGATACTCCCATCCGTCCGGAATCATGCGGCGGATATTTGTGCTCTTATGCGGTCCTCCGGGGAGCAATCCGAGGAGATCCGGTCACAGACAATCAAGCTCGTTGTTGTCTCAATGGCCGTGGTTTATTTGCTGGGTGGCACCAGTTTGCCCGAACTTTTTCCGGTTTGAGTCGGGAATTTGCCCCATTTTTGGCCGCGATGAAGCAAGCGGTCAAAGTGGTTAGAGGTTCGACCGCCGTTTGCCCCTGCCCAACTGCGGGGGTCAAAATGGTTGTTTTCCCGGTCAAATGGCGGGGAAATTGTGGTCGAACTTGGTCGCCTGTGTACATGATCTACCTTTGAAAGTGTTAAATTCGATCCGTGATGAAGGATTGAGAACTGACCGATGATGCGGAGAAGCCCTGTTAAACCCTGTTAAATCTTTCTTTGCGCGGTTTCGGACTAGGCGAAGGGGGCTCCGGCTTCCTGCATGAAGACCCGAGTGAGCTACATATTTTAGGTTGAAAGGCTTGGTGTCAGTGACCAAGTCTTCGGTCACCGGAACAAGCAATTTGAGGCCGTTCGACTCGGCTTGCGTCAAGAGATTTCCACAAGCTGCCGTGTGTGGCTTTTCGGTAATTCTGAAACAAAACAGCAAAGGGAGTTGCCATGCCGGAGACTGCATACGGCAGCGTACGGTGCACACTTACCGCTCGAACAAGCAAGGGAAAGGCCAGCTGAAGCGCAAGAACATCTTACAGGATTGATATCTTTGGACATAGAACCGATTAATGTAGATGTTGATGTGGCAAAGCTCGCCATTCAGAATACTAGCAGTTGTGTGTAGCTTAGCCGGAATAGGCAGCCCCGAGAACAAACCAGGAAAAAGTGGGCAAGCTTGCAGGCCGATACGATCCCGAGTCAACATGGAAAAACAGCCGACTTGAGGAAAAGAGTGTCTGGAAATATTGAGCGCTACTGCTGAGCTCAAAGCTTACTACAAACATAAGCCGGATCCAGCTTGGTTATGGAACATCGGAAAACCAAAAATGGAAAGTAACATCAACTGCCCACCCAGACCATTAATCAATTTCTCAATCGCAACAAGACTTATCGGACATTTATATCAGATTGATCTCGTGCACAGCGGACTGCGTCGCCATCTGCTGCAAATTCCTTCTCTTCGCCATCGTTCACTTTTCCATCTGATTTTCTAAGGATTTTTATACTTCCAACCTCGAAAATATCCCTATTTGAAAGTAATAATGGGAAAAATTAAAGATGTTCTCAATTCGATCAACAAGGACGAAAAGAACATTTCGCGAACCGGTTCCAAAGGAACTATTGACACCAAAACCCCTCGTCGCCCTTCAAAGGCTTCTTCTAAAGAGACTGTTGAGTCCGTAGTCACTCCAGTGGTTGTAGGCAGCGAGCCTATCCAGGAAAACAGCAGGAAGCTCAGTATCAAGACTGATATCCCGGTTGAAGTTGTGGATCGTGAGCCAGGTCTCATTCTCATTCATCATATCCACTCACTGATTTTATCATTTGATGAAACATGTCATTTGAATCCAGGCCGATACTCCACCGCCGAACCCCTCAGTGCGAAGATTGTCGCTGACACTGAAAGTCAGAAAGTTGCTGCACGTAAGTAGTTTGGCGAATGCTGATTCATCCGAATTCTTTTCAGTATTTTCTCTGTGAGACCAGAAGCGGATAGATCAACGACTGATTCACTCTGTTTCTGTCACAGCTGTTACTCACAATCTGATCAAGCACGAGGAGGTCGAAGAAATAACCAGAGCGAAAGAGCATGAGAGGCATTTACACTACGTCCAGCACCATGTCCAGGTTAGTTTCACGTACATTTTTTTCTAAAAAATCGCATTGAAAAACACGCTGATGCCCGGCATGTTTAGCCCGTAAAAGATAAGGAGATACTGGAGGAGGTGCATCGCACCCAAGTAGCACCAGTGGTAAGCCCTCTTTCATTACTGTCAAAATTGTTTGTCATCAGCTGATCGAGAAGTGTCTCATTCTGATCAACAGACAGCCGTTCATGAGAACATTGAAGCCAGCGCTGCAGACGCCGCAGCTTATGAGTCTCTCGGAAGTCAATTCAAAAACGAGGTTGTCCATGCTCCCGTGGAGAAAAAGATTATCGATCATGGTGAAAAAGTTCAGGTTAGAGAGCACCATCACGTCCATCACGTGGTTCAACCTGTTATCGAAAAGGAAACCCACGAGCGACACAGAATACACACGACCATCCCTATCCACCGTAAGCTTTAGGTCCTTCTCGCCAGTAACCAATGACGCCGAAAGAATTTTGACTAATCAATTTTGCCTTCCTTTAACCTCGCTGTCTCCCTGTCTCAGATGTCACTCACGAAGCTCCCATCATTCAGCAATCCATTAATCATGAACCGTTGCAAATGGAAGAGTTTTTGAAAAGAGGGGGCTCCGTGAGCTCTGGTTTGACACACACCGAAATCGGCCAAACCTTACTCACCGAAAGACGTGCTAGCGTCGTCGCAACTGTTCCCAACGAGCCGGTCGCTGTGACGAGTGCCACTGCCGAACTTGAAACCGATCTTTCCAAGAAGCTGAACATCTGAAACCGGACTCTTGTTTCACAATTAGTTAATTTTTTGAGTCTTTCATCCTGTATATTCGTGTGTGCCATGAGCCCAAATCTTGAAGTTGCTTATCTCAGCACATCGTAAATTGACAATCGTGAAGTGTTCGACACTGCTGTAGTTTTATTTTCCTAGTTTGTTTGTAATCTTTCTCATAACAATGTATTCACTCTCTGTATACTTCCTTGCTTGTACTGACCCTCCGCCCTCATCATTTTTCATCGCCAATGAACTGATATATGCACCAACCATCACATCTTGAACCCCATTATTCCGAAAATATCATACAATTTGGATGCAAAGGTGGTGTTCTGATCAACTCCTTTCCATGCGATCTACACGCAGGAACGTGAGTGAGGTCAAATTGAAATATAAAAAAGAAACAACTGATGATCAGCAAATACATTCAAGCCCGACTTTTTTCGCACTTTGACTTCATGAGTATTCATGAACCTTATTGAACCATAGCTTTACTGGATTTGGAAAATTCTCATAAAGATGCATTTGTTTTTGCAAGTGATTCCATTGAAATTGAGTTAGGAATTTTGTGCTGTTAATTCAATGTTATGAAGGGACGACAAAAATGAATACACAACAGGAAGTTAAATGAGCTATTTACATCAGACAATGGGGAATAGTCTATGGCAATGAGAAATGAGTGATATGAAAGTGGGATTGCCAGTATTGTGTGTGCTATGAACAATGAGCCCCTTGGAAATTCTACATTCTCTATCCAAAAAATGGGGTCAAAAGGGAGATATGGAACAACTTAATTTTTGGAATTAAATTCCTTCCAAAATGATATGTATTTTGCTTTGTTCATTTTGTGGTGGGCCACACACCTAATAGGAAGCAGTAGGAGATAGAAATGGAACCCACAGAGGACCAATCCTCACAGTAAAGATACTGGTGAGAAATACTGCTGGAGATTAGAACTGATGTGAAGACCTTCCATGGATTGAAGGATATATCAAGACAATGAGGCCATTGTCACTTGCCTGCTCAACATTCAGTCAGGTAAAATTAAGATTTATCAAAGTGCAGTCCAAATGTGACATGGGGAGCAGGGAGTCTTGAATGAATGGGGTGTGCTCATGGTTGTCCTGAATATTGTTTACAAGGGGAATTCATATTGGAGCTGAGTGCTTAGCCTGAAATTTCAAATGTTCTCAAACCTATAAGAGTTCAACCTGAAATCCTCCTTTAGGTCAGCCACACCAGGCTTAACAATTGGTTAATACACTCAGGACTTTGCTTATGACTCTGTGGCCACCCAAAAAATGAAAATTTGACAATGTATTTCATGGCAGTATGCAGAAAACTGGTGATTACATGGAACATCCCTGCATCCAGCTGGTGCTTCAAATATACCATCAACATCTTGGATTTTCATTTGGGGGTTGGAAAAACGACTCCCAAATTTTAGTCACCGACTCCCAAATATGGTTGTCTGACATTGAATGGGAGTCGTTTTTCCAAATGGATGGCCGATGTGGTAGTCAAAAATGTGAAAATTCAAAGTTTTTTTCCTTTCTTTTTCTTATATATATCTTCATATTATCACCCAATCTCTCTCAGAAATCACACCATACGGCTCAAGAACTGGACTCTACAGATAAATTCACCCTTGGTCACCACGGAGGCATCACTGGAACACACCTGGATCAACTCTTACCCAACACTGGACAACATATCACAAGGATTTCAACCATCATTACATATCACCAAACCCAATTACAACCCTCAAGCTACACAGACACCCTCAGTACAGTACACACTCATTTACATATACACTCATTTACATACATCTACACTCTTTACATTCCACTTCTACATATTACATCATACCTGCAGCCTAAATTAGTGTATTTTCCATGCATGACAGCTGCAGCTTACACCACCACACTCACTTGTAAACACATCAGAACCTGACCAATCAGAATCACTCATTCAGCTGCTTGGATCACCACTTCAACTCTTGTACATGTTTGACCAATCACATTCACTCATTCAAATTTTGTATGTAGCTAAAAATACCTCATGTAATAGCCCAGGCCAGCCAAAATCACTCATTACTGGCTGCCCTGGAGCTAAATTCCCTCACTGTTGTATATATAAGGAGGCTCTCCTCCCAGTGTATTATTCATCAGTCACAAGTTTAGTACCACTCAATCACAGATACACCACCTTTACAGAACCTTACCCAACACCAATAACAACTCAACTCATTCTCAGCATCACACAAACTCATTCCTGAACTTACCCTATCACTTGATTAAAACTTGCCAAGCTGAGCTTGGTGGGTCTTGTTATCTGATAGTATAGAAGGGCAGAGCTTGCACCTCCACCATCCCCTTCTCCATTCAGCAAAAAGGGTCTTACAACCACTTTTTGAGTCTTACACCGACTTTGGGAGTCGGCCATCCAATGATGTTTTATTTTTTTTAATATTTTTTTTTTTTTGCATTTTTGGGAGTTGGATCCCCAAACCACCCCTCATGCTTGAGGGGATTTGGGAGTTGCTCCCACATGACCGGAAGGAAATCCTTCTGGTCAATAAGAAACAACAACACCATTGACCGGAAGTGATTCCTTCCGGTCGATGGGGCTGTTACACCTCATCAATCGGAAGGAATCCCTTCCGGTCCTCATCAATCAGAAGG